GTGGCGATGGAGTGTCAGGCAATGGATGGCAGGAGGGTGCAGGGGCGGGTCATTGCCCACGCGCGCTCCAGCGAACTAGTAAATATAGAGGATGACAAATCGGATGGCTCTACCAGGAACCTGGCCAAGACCCCAAGGCTGTCAAGAGCCTAGAGGACTGACTTATTGTTGCATCCAGAGCAGTCGCTGTGGAACGTCACACAGCCATGGATTAAATCCGCTCTGGAATCAGGGTTCCCACATTCTGGAATGGAATGTGGATACAACAATAAAGCCTCTCTGGGACGATTTATTCCCCATATTCACATGAAGGCCTCCCTCTTCCCTCCTTCTTCCTATCGTCTCCTGAGCACCATGTCTCATGAAGACGACACCCTACCACAGTTGTGTAGCATTATTTTACGTTTCAGGAGTCAGATCATTGGCCCTTCTTTGGCAGCGTCTCCCCGACCCCCCCCCCCCCAAGTTAGCGCGACATTCCGAGATCACTGATTGGCTGCATTCTGAGGAGCTTCTCCCAGTGCGGACTCCATATCTGTGCCACGTGTGTATGTGGCCCGCATCACATGTCCACGGCTCGGGGGCTTGCTGAGGGCCCCCCAGCTGCGGCCTTGCCGCCATAAAAGCAGCTCAGCTTGCCTAAACTCATTCTTGGCAGACGGCAGAGTCGGATTCCTTCAGCCACCTCGATCTGAGCCTTGCAGTCATGCTCGGGTGAAATTAATCCTGAAATGTTTTTGTATCAACACGGGCAAAAGCCCAGCTGATACAACAATAAAGGAAACAATGGTGAACGTGGCTGAGCTGTGGATAGAAGCCGTCTCTGTTTGTTGATGTCTGACAACAGTTATCTGAAACGTCATTAAAATCTACAAAATCTGTTTTGCACCATGGCTACGTTCATACCAGGTCTTATAATAAGGGTTTTCTTATAATATGTTGGGTGCGTCTGCAAGGTTCTCAGTATTTTTTTTGGAAAAAAACAGGTGTTATTTACAGAAGAGAGACGTGAATCCTGCGAACAGGAATACCTCTGACGCGCGCGTTTAGGGGACGCTGGTGTGCAGCTTTGTAGTCTTGTTTTTGTGTTTTGGCGGAAGAAAATAAAAACATGTAAGCGGGATGGGGGGGGGGCTGAGACAGGGGGATGTTTACTCACATCCTGATGGGAACACGTCATTCTAAGCCCTGACGGCGGACCTGCTGAACCGAGATGGCCGCCGTCTTTCCGGCTCCGCTCTGCTCGCCAGGATGTCTTCCCTGCGGCGGCGGCCGTGGCGGGGTTACTCACAGAGCGCGGCGCGGCAAGGCGAGGCAGGCAGGCCGCGGCATGGTGCCCATTGTCAGCGCTCCTGTTTACTGAGGTCATGCGGGGAAACGGCCAGCGCCAGACTGGCAGGCACTCCAGTGGTTCCCTTCAAGATACGAGATCAAGTAAATCAAAATTAGAACATATTGCCCTCAGAGTCTCTCGCACATAATGGCCGTGTGTCTCCCCACTGGAAACCAGTAACGGCTAACAATGGCTTTTATCGAGGGCCAGAGGGAAGTCTGATTCATTTTCTGTAAGCTTAACAAGGGCATGATAAACTCATGTGCTGCCTTTATGCGTTCCTGTCCGCCTTTACTTATTTCCGTGTGTTTCCATGCCCCCTGCATCCCAGCATTATATAACATGCGTGACCCTCGGTGCTGGGGTCACGGCGATGCCACAGCGTACAGGATAAGCATCCAGAAGACACTGCTCATGCTCTGAATCCAGCCTCCTGCAGTCATTCTAGCGCTTTCCGAGGAGATCCATTTTTCACTCTCTGCCCGGGGCTATAAAAACAAGAGACAAACAAATTGATTTTAACATGTCTGCCTTGTCATAGAAGTGTAGTGGTGTAGAATAATGGAGATGCGTGTCTCCAGCTGCAGCCAGGGAAAATTCAATTGTTTCATGGGCCTTGGAAGCGAGGATCAGGACTCTCTGACGCAGCTCGGGATGGGTAATGACTCAAGGATGGATCAGGGGAGCAGCTAGATTAGAGGAACTCAAGTCTCAAGGAGGGAGACAGTTATTTAATACCCTGAAGGACAAGTGTTCAGATTTAAACAGAAAGCTGTGAGTAAAATCCAAATAGGAAAACTGCAGGATAGCAGCAGACACAGGAGCCCTGGTGGACAAGTGGAAGATGTCAGCTTTTGTGGTTCCAGGAACATGACTGTGGTAGGGAGACCTTCTCTGTCTCAGATCTGCTGCAGATAAGAAGCATCGATTAATCTCAGTCTGTTCACAGCCCTTTAGTCGCAGACGTCCCCAAACTGAGCCAAACGGCAGTAACATCTGGGTCTGTACAGCTGCTTAAGGTCACAGTGACGCTTTCCTGTGTTTTCTGTGTTGGCCTTACAATTGGTCTGTCAGGATATCGTGGCCTGTTCTGCCTCCCTTGGGGTCTATTTGGCAGTGCAATCACCGCTACATCTACAAGCATTCTTAGATTCAAGGTGCCACTGAATGAATCTGTGGAAGCGTAATATAAATGTTCTGTTTCCCAAAGAAACAGCACAGACCTTTGTGCTATTTACCTTTTTCCACACTGGAGGAAGCTTCTGATAAACAAAGTCGGTTCAAAGTCAAGAAAACGATAATAAAAAGCACACATCTTGTGAGAAAGATCTGATTATACATGGTTTTCTTCCTTTTTTTTTTTTTTAGCTAAATATGTATCCTGGCACGTTTATGACCTACTCTCACATTAATACTCTAATATCCTCCATGTCTTGTCTGGCACAGTTAAGCTTCAGCAATGAGTTAATCGCGGTGTGGATGCGGTTTTTGTTCCAGGAAAAGAGCCGGACCATCCTCAGGCCGAAATAAAAACTAGCCAGCTCTGTCACTTTGTTGTGGCCTGCCCCCCCCCTCCCACCGAAACTATTCGAATTTCCTCTGCATAGACATTTTTGGGCATTAAAGATCAGTAAAATGTTGAACACTGAAGTGAACATTTAGAAGAGGTCAAATAGCTAGGAAAACTGAGTGATCTGGACACGATTTTGTAAATATATTTCATCTTGAGTCAGACTTGGATGAGTTCTGCTTTGCTGGGTTAGGATTTAAGAGCACTGAATGGAAGTATGTGGATGCACTGGACTCAATACCAATTCCTTCCAATGTAGCATTTATATTTCAATTCATTTTGATCATTTTAATTACTATTCAACTAGCAGGAGTTAGTGCACCATGTCAGATGTTAGGTGTCAAGTTTATCTGTTTACATGATATAACTCTTTTTCTATACTAGATTTAACCTTTAAATCACACGTTTCACATTCCCTGGTTGGCACAGGTTGGGTCTGGGTCTCGATTTCAGAGCGTGATTCAGCGTTTCCGCTCAGCTCTGCTCGCGTTGTGCCTGATTTATTTAGCACAGTTCGCGGGAAAAGGGGCTTTGTTGGGACGATACTAATCACCTTTCAGCGGCGCTCCGAGCCAGCGCCTCTTTGAGGAGGGGAGGGCCGGTGCGGGTCCACGGCTGGTGAAGAAACAGTAACCAGAACCCCCAAGTAAATCATACCCGGGGGGTCATGGAGCTGACCCCCTCTGTGCCAGCAGAGTTTAAATCACCCAGCTTCTCGGGAGTGGGGATAGACGGCCAGAGGTAGGTAATGAAAAAAACATGCTTCAGTGGACAGAGGCTGCGGCCTTGACTCCAGAGGAACAGCCGGTCAATGTTCTCCAGCCAGAACAGTGATTGTAGCATCAAACGACAGAAATAACATGAGGAAAATGGCCGTGCTGTTGACCAGTGATTGGCGCTGTTGAATTTACAGCATGTTTTGTGGGGGAGATTGACCCCGGTGTTAGACTTCGCGGTCAGCCCTCCGGATGAAATCCCCCCCCAGTTAAAACTTTTCTGAGTTGTAGAGACGCCCGTAATAAGCATCTTAAAGGGATATTATGTGTAATTAAGAAAGAGAATGTGTGCAGTGGTAAGCCGAAGCGAGAGCTGGCCCGTCAGACGGCGCTGCAGATTACAGCAGCCGGAATGTTAAGTACCGGGGCAGCCATGTTGTCTGGGAGGGCCTCTCAGCCATGCGTGTGTGTGTGCGTGCGTGAGCTCGCATGCGGGCCGTGTGTCCGTCTGCGTGCGGCTGCCTGTGAAGCCCTGGACACTGGTTATTCCTGCATCAGACGTCTTCAGAGCTCCCCGCGCCGGACGGCGGGGGCCCCGGGCTCCGACATGGGAGGGGGGCTATTTTGGGAGCTGGTTTGGTGCCGGACACCCTGTCTCCAAAGGCTGACCTGTCTGCTGATACACTATCAAGCGGCAGGGTTTAAATGGGAGGCCATTACAAACCCGCCGCCAAGCCGGGCTGCTATCAAAGGCCTGAAAGCAGATAAAGTGATTGTAGCACTAATGAACATCCTAAAACACTGCAGACAGGAGATGCCCAGGGAACACAATCGTATCTCGTCTGCCATGTCCAATCGGCCAGTAGTCCCCTTTGGATGCACTTACAGAGCTCCCACGAGAATCCTAATTAACTGCAAGAAAAGTCCACTGAACGCAAGCGAGATGTTCTGGATGCTACATAACGCTTTATTCTCTTAAGATATATAAAAGATATCTAAAACTAAATTTTAAACGGTTTTATTAATTTGTGGATTTTAAGGCTTGGTACCTGTGAGCAGAAGGTTATTGGTTTAAATCCCAGTGACCATATCAGGGTTTGGCCCTGAGCAAGGCCTGTAGCTCTGAGAAATGCTGAAGCATGCTGGGCAAAGAGGTGACCCTGCACTCCGACCTCACGTGTCACTCTCACCTGTATATGTGTGTCGAGTAGGAGAGGAAGGTGGGGTATGAAAGAACCAAAGAATTCCTAGGTATCATTATCCTTACAATATTTAATAAGGGGCACAGCACTGGGCTTTAAATATCCCATTAAGAGCAGGATACATTTTTTTCCACTTCATTAAGTATTAAATAAGTGTTACATAACTAAATCAATTGTGCCTGTTGTGTTTGACTCCCAGGTACGCCATATATCACAGTACAATGAAAGTTTTTGGAAAATGATAAGAAACCCTAATTAACAAAGAAATAGACATGTATTTCGCTGATTGCAATACCGCATCAATGATAAACAATAACGGACACTCTAACTCGGAGCAGGCAATGGGAGGGTGGGGTTCGGTGAAGTTCAACAGCATACGTGCGTCTGCGAGCGGGGCAGCGTGGATGGACATGGGCCGGACTGCTCACTCGAGTGTTAACGTTGCTGCCTGCTTGTCATGTACTGCTGCTCTGTGCCTGCAGGGGTCCGCGTGTAAGCGTGTACGTGTGACTCAGAGCGTAGTTTACCTAGCGGAGAACAGGAAACACTGACAGACAGCTACAGACTCGCTAGCACGCTGTTTTGTTTAATGTCAGTGCTAATCCCAGAGCAGTCGTTAACTCAGCCGCATTACTGACATGCCCTTAAGTACCTGCCCACATTTAACATAATTCTGACATGTAAGAATGCTGTTGCATTATCTTACCAAGCTGTACGGAAAAGCAAAATTCCAAAAGTCAATATAATTACCTTTTCTGCCCTTGAGGCTCAAATTATCGATTGAGCAACACAAGGATGAGGGTGCCACATTATCCAAACTGTCAATTAAGTTGGAATCCAACCTCCATTTTCCGTTTTATATGTAATTATGATAAACAGAAAAGCTGCTAGCAGGCCTGGCTCCTGCTGCTGGGCTCAGAGGACAGTTTGCAGGGGGAATCCCAGCCTACCGTACAGGCCGGGCCAGCCGGACCAGGCCTGCCAGCCGGAGATTCTATAAAGCGTCTGCTGTGGGCTGAGCTCAGGCCTGGCCATGTGTTTCATGGTTGTTTTGTGAAAGCTGAGTTTATTGGTGCAAGGAAGTATTAAAAAGTGGACTAAGTTGCACCATATGAGTTACTATGTAACTCTCAAGCACTCGGTGGCATTTTGGCTTAGCCCCCTAACCCCCCCTCAACACACACACACAGACACACAGACACACACACACATTCATTTTGAAATGGGCAGCAATCCAGTGAGGCGCCAAAGATCAAATTGTATGTGGCAGAATGTTCTCTAAAATTTAAGTTCTGTTTTTATGCATAGACCCACACATGAACACTCCTGAGTTACTCCTGGGTTACTCTTGGGTTACTCACTGAATGTTCGATGTTTCCATATATAAAAAGCCCGCACATCTCCCCTTGAGTTAATGGGCTGCCAGTGAAGAGGGACACCCTTCTGAACAAATGCCGCTTTTCCTCCATAAGCAATTCTGTTTTCACAAGAACAGCGTGCTATTCATTAATCACTTTTTTGCACATCTTTACAGAACCCGGCCCCCAGATGACCTTAGACGGTCGATTATTGCCAACATACGGAGCAACCGGATCGAAGTTAAACCGGACGTTAGCTGGAACCGGGCCGACGGTCACATGATGAGTTAAGCAGGTCACCCAGGTTGGCCTGGGAACAGTGAGATCCCTGCAGGCCCCGCAGTCATAAATTATTTACCGGCTGGTTACTGCAAGGCTGCACAGCGACCAGAGGAAGTCAAAGCAATAACAAGGGGGGTGTGAGACCAGGGATGCAGCTGCTTATTATAGTTTTATCTGTAGAAACGTCGCTAATTTGGCCCATAAAGAGGCCGTTCGGGGCCCATCCCAGTCACTCAGACAGACGGCGGCAGTCTTCCACTTCGCAGTTGTTATCTAGGCCTCCAAGACAGACTGACTCCACAAGCTGCTGAACAAATGCTGATAAAAATTGGGAAAATATTATTCTTTGTGCAAGCTTGG